AGTAGCAACAGTAGCAGCAGCAGCAGCAGGAGCAGCAATAGCAGCAGCAACAGCAGCAGCAATAGCAGCACATTGGTTGCAGAGGAGCGTGGGGCTGAATATGCTGCAGCAGATGCTGCTGGCGACGCCTCGTGCTGCAGTGCAGCAGCAGCAGCAGTGACAGAGTTGCTGCTTACTAGCAGCAGCAAAACGTCGAAGAGGCAGCAGATTTCGGGTGTATAGGCAGCTCAGAGTTGGGGTGTATAGGCAGCTAGTGCTGCTGGTGTTTTTTGGGGTGTATACGCAGCTAACTGTTCTGTTTTCTGCGGTGTATACGCAGCTAGACCCTTCTGGGTTTCGGGTGTATAGGCAGCTCGTTGCATGCGCTGGGGTGTATAGGCAGCTCGGTGCATGCGCTGGGGTGTATAGGCAGCTCGATGCATGCGCTGGGGTGTATATGCAGGTCTCTGTTTTTTTATTTATTTCTCTTACCCCCATTAAAACAATACGATGCGAGCAGCAGCCGCAGTGAAGGAAGCAGTTGTTGCTGCTGTCTCCAAACGGCAGCAGCTGCTGCTGCAGCAGCTGCTGCAGCACCGCTTGCTGCTGCTGCATGTATACACCTTCTTTTCCTTTTTTATTTTTTTTTAATCGCCCTTCTCCCTCTAAATGTCTCTTTATTAATAAACTATATTCTTCTTTACTGTCTCCTTTTTTGTCTCCGTATAAAACACCCCCAATCAAAAAACAACTACCACCCCTGCTGCTGCTGCTGCTGCTGCTGCTGCTGCTGCTGCTGCTGCTGCTGCTTGTCTCTCTGCTGCAGCAACCCCACATAGCAGCACGCAGATCAGCTAGGGTTTGTCTCCCCCCTAACTCGTAGCTGCCGCAGACAAGCCCGCTTCTTGCTGCGTCAAAAACAGCAAAAGAAAACACCAAATCCCTGCTGCTGCTGCTGCTGCTGCTGCTGTTGCTGTTGCTGTTGCTGCTGCTGCTGCTGGGTGCGGTGGTTCGGGCGAAGCACGGCTCGTCGGTGCCGCAGCAGCAGATGTTCTCCTGCAGCTCCTCCTGCTGCTGCTGCTGCAGCAGTTGCTGCTGCTGCTGCTGCTGCTGCAGCAGCAGCTGTATTTGCTGCTGCTGCTGCTGCTGCGGATATATATTATATATTGCTGCTTGTCTGTCTAGGCGTGTATTCTTCATCGCGTTGAGCCCAAGAAGACAGCGGGATGCTGTTAGCTGCTGCAGCAGCAGCAGCAGCTGCTGCTCTCCTATTGGTGATGCTGCAGCAGGAGGCACCCAACTTACTCTGCATGCGAAACGGCTTAGACGCCGTGCTGCACCTTGCTGCTGCTGCTGCTGCTGCTGCTGCTGCTGCTGTTGCTGCTGCTGCTGCTGCTGCTGCTGTTGGTGCTGTTGGTGCTGCTGTTGGTTGAGCGGATGCTGCTGCGGTATCTGCATTTGTTCTTGCTGCTGCTGCTGCTGCTGCTGCTGCTGCTGCTGCTGCTGTCGCTGCAGCAGCAGCAGCAAAGGGTGGGGTATTAGCTGCTGCCAGTCTTTCAACTCCCCCGCAACAGCAGCAGCAACAATTTCGTTCTGCTGCGGCAGTCTGCTGCTGCTCAATAAATAAAAACGTAAATAGCTGCTGATGTATGCAAACGTTTTACACTGCCTGCTGCTGCTGCTGCTGCTGCTGCTGTTGCTGCTGCTGCTGCTGCTGCTGCTCGAAGGCGTTTCAGTTGTTGCTTCGCGCTGCACCTCCGGCTCGTTTTGCTGCTCTTCTTGT